TTGAGCATTTCTTAAGAACAAACCAAAAACAAGATAGACATGCTCTTTAAAGAGTGGGTCCACTTTTTATTGGCCAAAATCAAGCGATGATTCTTAATAAATCCCACTCTTGGGAGGTTTGGCAGTTTTTCCTTGCGTTGAATTCGTTTTTATGGATATTATTATTTGGTTAAGTTAAAAGCGGTATTCTTCCATCGCGATAGGAGATACTGCTGATTTATCATATTAAAATAAATATAAAGTAATACAAACGTTTCCGAATGAGGCGGCACATGTTTTGACGTGTTTGAACTCAACGAGAAAAACACATTGAAATATACAAAACAATACTTAACATGTGTTTTGGTTTTATTTTTCAAGATCAACTGTAACAGAAAACAATAGAATTAATAATAATTTAAATATTATTTTATTTAACCATTATATTTTTTTCTGGTTTAACCCACTATTTACTATAATAATTGGTTTTTAAACCATTAACGTGAACCATTTAAGTCAAACTATTCCATTTAAGGCAAACTTGTCTAACTGTATGTAAATAGAATAATTAGTTTTTACGATTTTATTTTACAATAAACTATAATATAATAAATATTTTTTATTGAACTGTTTATTAACTAACTATACCAAGGTAAATACGACATGTTTAAAGGATTAGAACATTCACACAACAAAATTTCAATTAAAAAGAAATACAACACACTCAGTTTGATCGTGACACGTGTTGTTTATCAAAAAACATGTTTAAGAACAATATTTTGTCAATTGAATTATCTTTAAACAAAAATATAAACATTCAATTCAAAACGTGAATAATGACACTCATTTTGAAGATAAAAGACTTGTCTTAAATACGTTTAAACCACTTTTCAAGTTATTTGTTTTTTTACTATAATAACGTCTTGTTAAAACATTACTACAGTGGGTAAAACCTTTTCTGTCTTTTTGACAACTTCCACTTGACTTTATAGATTTTAATAATATAAATATAATAAAATGTAATATATTGTTTACCATGAAGACTGATAATGTCTTGTGGAAACTTTTCTGTCTGAAATAATAATTTGTATTATACATGTAATTACAATTTTATTATTTTGAACTAATAACAAACAAAAAATGGTTAATAAGACGGAAGCAGTTTTTTATTGCCCTATACGTCATATTAATATCAATTATTATAGATATAGTTTTAACTATGTTACAATACTTATTTTGATTAAAATATATAGATCATCTTGTCAAATAAAATGTCAACATACGATCATTTAAGGTCTTGGTTCGATTCTTTTTGGACACGTTTTGGCGTAATGACCTGGTTGTTTACAAACGAAGCAATATCGATGTTTTTTGGATATTCCGACACATTTGTTATGTGGCTTTTTCATGCCTTCTTTATATTCAACTACGGTTGATGGCTTTATTTGTCTTATTTGACTAATCTTTTGGGGGTCGGTAAGGCCTTCAATTACAAAGCTTTCTGTTACTGTTACTTTTTCACAACCAAAGTCAACAACAGATTCACACGTTTTTGTAACAGAAACACGATAAATATTTTTGATCTCTTCACGTCCACTTCTTTCTTCTATTTGTAACTTTTCTCCCTCGAATAATTATACGACGCTTTCAACAATGTGTGGGTTTGATTTAACATTTGGATAGTATTTCTCCAACAACATAATGTAATCATTAAACCCGACTATTTCAAGTTGTTTGGGTTCAACAACAATTGAAACGTGTGTTGAAATTTCATTGAAAAGTTTTGTACAATTTGGTTTAAAAAGTTCAATAGGAATTTTTTTCATGGAGTTAATATAAAGGCTAACAATATGAGTACAAGGGAAACCAGATGTGAAATATACAGAGAATGAACATCCGTTGAAATTTGTCACGTGAGGTAGTGAATCGTAATAATCCATCACATATTTCGATTTAGTTGCATCAATAACATTTAAGACTCTTTTTATTGTAACTGATGTCATCTTTCTAATAACATCTTCATTGAAAAACTGAATTAACAGTTCTACGTCTATTTTTTGAAGATCCCCAAGACTGGATCTTGATTCTAGATCTTTAGAACAACTTAAAACAATGCTAACTATCTCGTCGAGTCGTGGTTGTTTGTGTTCAATTCTTCTTTTCAGCCATCCGAAGAACCCCTCGATCCCATTTGATGTTGAATTTTTTGTTTTTGTTAGAGTAATACTTGGTAGCCACGACTCCGCGCATGCCAACAAATCCTTGATCATTCTGGATTTAGTGGAATAGTAGTATTGGAGTTGTCATTCAGTTCAATTATAGTTTCAATAAGTTGAGTTACCGTGTCCATAATATAATTTCCTTCGACCTTTTCTTTTTCTTTAATGTGTTTTTCGATTGGAATATCACTGTTCTCAAAGATAAGTTCTGTTAAATAGTTCAAAAAGTTTTCTTCGTTTCCTTGATGACGTATAATTACTTTCTTGAAAAGACCAACAATTGGATGATTTCTACCAAAAGCAGTTATCAAGTTTCTCTTGATGTGTCTGACACAATACACAATATCTATATTGGTGAACACTTTTTTGAGTGCAGAAGTTTGACTTTTACAGCGATCACAAATGAACACTTTGGGGTTGACAAACTTTTTGACAAAGTTAAAGATAAGTTCAAAAAAGGAAGTTGTTCTATTTTGCATAACAGCAAAAAAGACGCAATGTGAATGACCTTTTGAATCTATTTATACTCCCACAGAGAGTGGCAACCCAAATTGGTTCGTACCA